AGGGAAAGGATATGTACACAGAGGTCACAGAAAACAGAATGGCAGCTTGTTGACACCATCCTAGTAAAGGTCCGTGGGTTTTCAGTATACAGACTGAAAGCTTCATTTTCCTTTTGAGAGTTCCAGCACCTCTTTTTTCTTTTCTTTTTTCTTTTTAAAGCCCTAAAACCACTTTTCTGGGAATAAGCTTCATTGAATAGACAATGACGATGATCCAGAGCAGACCCACTTAGGATGGTACTGATGGTCTGTTAATGACGTTTCAGAAATAAAAAGATTTCTTTTTTTCTTTCCTGGCCGGTGATGTGTTTTTCTAACAAAGAACTTCCTCAGACGGAGGCAGTTTGTTTCTTATTAGTCTGTTGAGGTTGTGGTACAGGTATGCTAGGACTTTTGACGAAGGGAGTACGTACCTACTCAGGCTGCGACATGCTGGCAGTGATCAGGTGGCGTGCATTTGCTCCAAACTGCAGTGTGTGAACACTGCCATGCTGTGGCATGTGGAGTTCTTGGACAGCCATTTCATAAAAGCTAAACAGGGCTTCTGTCTCACTCATCTCCATAAAAGGAAGGCAGGTGTGTATTCATTGGCAGCGGGGAATGAAATTGTCTGGGATATTTAACTGTAAAGCTTATATAGAAAGCGGATATCACACGAAAAGGACTAAACTAGAGGGGCCTAGCTGCCCATAGGTTTAGACCTTCCACTAGGCAGACCTAGGCAGCTGCCTAGGGCACTGCAGCTAGCGGGGTGGGCAAAAGGGTTAGCAGGCCACAGGGATTCAGGGTGCAAGGCAGAGGGAAAGCCAATCCAACGTTCCTCCTATGCGTGTCTGCCATGCCTGTACAGAAGTAGTCCCGCTATGGTCATTGGGATTTACTCCCAGGTAACCATGCTTAGGATTGCAGCTCTTGGAATGAGCCGGTTGATGTTTCATTATGTTTCCATATGTATATTGAATTGGGGAGGGGGTACTAGAGTTGTACTCTGCCCGGGGTGCGAAAAATATTTGGGCCTGCCCTGGTGCTTTGATGCACAAGTTTTTCACATGCAAGCAGGAAGGTGCCGAAGTGTTATTAAGCAAGCAACATATAATCTTCCAAGTCATGAGAGACGCCACGCAGCATTCTGTGGTGACAGGGCTTTGCTGTCAGCAGTGGGTCACGGGGCCAAGCCAGATCTAAAGTGGCGTCTTTGCGGGATAAAGGATAAGATTGCCAGGAGCTTTGGGAGCCATTGGTCTGACAAGCAAGGCAACCTGCCAAAAGGAGTTATACAGAAGGGAGTCATTTGCTGGCTGTCCTTAAGGGAACAGGTGAAGTGGGGTGCCAGAGAGGCAGGAAAAGAAGCCAGATGGTGGCAGCGGTAAGGCAGTAGTAAGCCATATTAGACTCAAATGAGACTGATGCCCAGGCAGAGATGCAGGCTTGACTGGAAGCATTTACAGCTAAGCCTGGTTAGGAGGACCTAGTGGGCTCCTGGAGGGTGGTGTCAGCCCGGACAATGAAGGGTAACGATGCTTCCTTTCCCCAGTCTGAAGAGGCCACACAAGGAGGTTCCTAGACGTCCCTGGGCTGGTTCCGGCAAACACTGTCCCGAGCATTTTGGGGTTTCACTTTAAATACTTGATAACTTAAGGCTTGTGGAGCACAATATTATTTCCCTGATCTTAGAGAAATCCCAAACTCTTGGCACCGTGAAGGGTTGTTGGGGTTTTTTTTGTCAAATGAATGAGAGCACAACAAAGGAGTGCTGGAGACCCAGATTTTAAAAACAGCAGCTTTGTCTTGCATGTTGCCCTGACAGCGCAGGATTTGTGACTTCTTTGTATCGCCATAGTGGAGAAGACTTCATTAATGCTTGGCTGATTTAAGGATGGGTAAATACATCTATATGAGATCCATCTCAGGGTGTAATAACCTTGCCTTGCTAGACGCAACAAAAGAACACCCTGATGAAGTTCACTATATATATAAATATATAAATGCTACAGGTACTGCAATGAGGTATTATTAAGATCGTGATGATAGTGATGGTAATTAGGGACAATTACTTACTCTTGGAGCTCTCTGTTCCTGTCACAGCTCAGGTGGGGTGTCACCTGACGCTGCCACCACTTTGGATTTAGGATTCCTTGAGAAGTCCCAGAGTACCCTCCCAAGACCTTCACACCTCCCTTTTGGCCGAATAATAGGCGTGAGGACCAGGCAGAGTGCAACAAGGAAAAGGTTTATTTTATAGGAGGTCAAACAAACAAGGTGCAGAATAATAACAGTAAGTGGGTGAAAAGAAAAGAAATCAAATGCCCTAACTAATCTAAATATATACTGTCCCTAGCTCACTATCTCAAGTGGCCTTAGACTACTCACCCCTCAGGATGAGGGTCTCTTCCCTGCAGCAGCCTTCCTTCTGGCTCTGCCCTCTTGGAAGAAAGAACAGCTTTTTCTCTTGCACCAGTTCTTTTATTCCCCAGCCCTCTTCTTCCCTATTGGTCAAAATCAGCACCAAAACTTCCCAAGGCCTTTTGGGGTTTGTAGGCTTGGCCTCCCCTCAGCCCCATAGCTAGGGAATTCTTTGGGAGGGGGCCCTGGGGGGCAGCTAATTAAATGAAAGTACAGTGCAGGTGGTAAGTTCGAGCACTTTGAGAGCAGCCCAGGAGGGAGGGGGCCCAGAAGAAACACTAGGGGGCCGGGCCCCGTGGGCCCCATGTTCGCTATGGGCCAGCCTCCCCTACTGCTAGCCAGGCTCCCTGGGCCTAGTAGGCCTCTGGTGGCACAGCCCAGATCATGACAGTTCCCTTACACAGTATGGCCATCATTCAGAGAACCACAAAGGCAGCTCATCCCCGCCTACCACTGGTTCTGAGAAGCAAGGCACCATGGGAGTAGCATCCTAGCAAATGCTGCACTGCTTGTGGTATTTCTTTGCCGGCGCAGATGTCTGTACGTCTGGAAAATGTCAGACATTTACAGTGTGATCCTAAACAGAGTTACACTCTTCTAACTTCATTAACATCCAGGGGCTTTGAAAGGTATCGCTCTGCTTTGGATTGCACTGTTAGCAAATCTTGATGTTAAAATTTTATGAGGTTTGATGGGAAATGTCAGAAATGTTTGCGTCACGAGCCTTGATGTAGGCATATGGGCTCCTGGCTTGGCATGTGTCTTGTTCCAATAGAAATGCAGGAGAGTTTTGGACATTTATAGAAGGCACCCAAGTTGGTTTCTGGAACTTATTGGTAAATGTCAGGTTTTCTCACATTTCCCTTAGGGACTCTGCAAATGATAAGAATTACCAGGAAAATGCTAAACATCCACCAGATTTCTGACACTCACACAATACACATGCTAAACGCTTGATGAATGTTAGCATTAGGATTAGGGTTGCCAAATCTTCTTCCCCCCGCGGCGGGGGAGTGTCGCCGCGGTCCGGGAGTTGTGAATGGTTTTCCCCTCCGACGAGCTCAGCCACGCCCCCAACGTCGGCAACGTGGTGGGGTGGGGTTCCCCCCAGCCCGGAATTCCCCTGCAGCGGAAATCGGGCCGCGGAAGCGGGGGGTTCCCCGCCCCCCGGCCCGATTTGGCAACCCTAATTAGGATGTGTGTGCTGGCAGTCCCAGATACCTTTTATGATCCTGTATATGATTCTATATATGTTAAGTACGGTATATAACTTTTATTATGATTGGTGAAAATCACATTTAACTGAACCAGCATTCCTTGGGGTATGCCTAGATTTTTGAAAGTTCACATGCACCAGATTTTTGGCATTCACTGTGAGATACTATAGTTGCCAGCTTCCTGCTGGGGACAGGCAATTTATCACCCCACCTCCTGTTGGCTCTGTCGCTCAGCTGGGCAGCAGAAGGAAAGACTGGGGGGGAAATAGGGGAGCATAAGCAGGAAGCAGATGAGAGCCAGTTGCTCGTGGGCCAGATAGAAGCCCTGCAGGGGCTGGTTCCGGCCCACGGGCCGTATGTGTAACACCCCTACTCCCCCATGTGACCCAAACTTTTTTGGGGAGTGAATGCTAGTGCATTTCCACTGCACGAAGCCATCACTTCCGTGTTGTCTCAGAAGTGACATCGTTCCATCGGGGACGCCAGTCGCCCCTACCCACAATATGGAAGTCCTCACCTCCCCCATCTCCTGCTGGTTGCCAGCCTAGGCAACCCTGTGGCATGTACAAATGGGCGGAGAAGACTGTTAGCCACAACTGGGAGACATTTTAGATTCCTAGGAGACAATTTCACATTCTTAGGAGACAGGATAAGATATTTAATCAAAACAAACTCTGAATGGAGCTGAGTGCTGGGGCCCACCACATTTTCCTTCCAATCTCGCCAAGTCTCCCTCCTCATTAAAAGTCCCCACTCCACAAGTCTTTTGTCTGTGGGGTCCTGTGATCCCCCAGCACAGCCTTTTTTCACGGTCAAATGGGACCCCTCCCCTTCCTTTTTCACCAACAGCAAAGCTGGTTGGGTCCATCCCAGGGTGCTTAAATGGCAGCATCAATGTTTTAGGATCTGAACAGGCCAGTACCTGATACTTTCCTAGTCCTGATCCTCTGACTGGCTCTATGGATCAGATTTTCCCAACAAGCAGGGGCAGATCTACTATGCAACTAATGAAGCTTAAGGTTGTTGTTTTTTTTTTAAATGAGTGAGTTTTTCAACAAAATTGCTGGAGGTTTTTTTAAGTTCGCTATTAAAATAAGGCTATTTTAGTGACAGAATCATAAGCCCAATGGGTTGAAGCACTTAATATTGACCTTTGAATATGCTCTAATACCCATTTGATATGGCCTCAAAATGTCCCTATGGACCTTGTTGGCAGTTGCCCTATTGTTGCTGGTTGAGAAGGGGCCCCCATAATAGCTCAAGCTCTCAGGGTCCCAAAAATATAGGTCCGCCACTGCCAACAATTTATTTTTCAGACTTGAAAAGAGAAAAGTGCCCGTCCGATCCATATTATGATGTCTACGTGTGTTTTCCTTGTAGGAACGACTCTTGATGAGCCTTTTGCCCAGGAATGTTGCCATGGAAATGAAGGAGGACTTCCTGAAGCCGCCTGAAAGGATTTTCCACAAGATTTACATTCAGAGGCACGACAACGTCAGGTAGGACTGATACACGACAAGTCAAGTGATATGAACATATAACACGCCCACGTTCAGCTGTGTGCAATGTGAGGCCATTCTCAGAATGTAACTGCACAAAAAGTACAGGGGAAGTCCTGGCCCTTCAGATTTTTTTAATCTTATCTTTGTGCATTAGTAAAGAGGTGAGGAATGGGTACACGCATGCAAGCAGAGGTGACGTTAAACCAACCAGTGTCCACAAATGGATCATTGAACTGCACGGATCAACCATGAGAGCAATGCTCTATGCCAGGGGTGTCGAACTCATTTGTTATGAGGGCTGGATCTGATATAAATGAGACCTCGTTGGGCCGAGCCATGTGTGTAATAAAATGTAATGCCAGGTAGCAGAGACATAAACTTTATAAAGGACATAAACACAAAGGGTGGGTTTTTTTTACTTAAAATAAAAACATGCTTAAAACAGTAGCACTCTTGCAATATTTTGCAATAACTGACACCTCTTGCTCTGAATTATTACATCAAAATGTCTGTGCTGTTGCAATCTTGAGTATGCTGTTCAGGTGTGTATCTGTAAGCTGCAAATCTACGATGACGCGGCAGCAGCAGAACTGGAAGAAGAAGCAGAAGACAGGCAATGACAACATATAGAAGACAGGCAGTTCCACTGCGGGTCTGATAAAAGCCCTCTGGGGGCCTGATCCGGCCTCTGGGCAGCATGTTTGACACCCCAGCTCTATGCCAATGCTCCCTCTAAGCTGTGGAGTCTTGTGAGCAAAAATTCTACTCTGTGAGCTACTGGCATTAAAGCTGTGAGCGAGCGATTTGGCTACTGCATAAATTAGTTTGCTCTGGAGCCATCCTTCCTGAGCTAAGACAAAAATGTGTGAGCCGGAGGCTAAAAAACTGTGAGCTAACTCTGCTTAGAGGGAACACTGCTCTATGCCCTGTTGTTGGCGCTCCAGAGGAACTGGTTGGCCACTGTGTGATACAGGATGTTGGACTAGATGGATCATTGGTCTGATCTATCAGGGATCTTCTTATGTTCTTAATCCTAAGAAGAGCCCCTCAGAATCCTATTCAAGACTATTCAGTGGGCCTTCCTCCTAGGAAAGTGTCTTTAGGATGGCAATGAACATCTCCTTAACTACAAGTCTCATAACTCGCGATGGTAGTTGCTCCTTTACAGATTTTTTTTTATAATTGCCTGGCAGTTTAAAAAGTGTATTTACTAAAAATGAACTGAGAAGATTTTTTGTTTCTTACTTGTGTTCTGCAAACATCACCTTTCCCCCCTCCCCCGATATTTTAAAGCATCCCATTTAAATAACGAAGGGGTAAATCTGGACTGAATTTTCTGTCTGTGGACTGGAACTTTCCTACCTCCTACCTCCTGCTCAGCCCTGACCTGGACGAGCTAGGCCAGTGGTGGCGAACCTATGGCACGCGTGCCATCGCCCCAGCCAGGCCCAGACCATCATTAAAGTGTCGAATTCTCTGCCAAATAATTTTAAGTCAATGAAAGCATTTGGGATTGCTTTCCTTACTTTGTTTGGGTCATCTTAAGTTAACGTATGAGTTGTTTTTTCTAAAGTAAAACCTCAGTATTCAGGTTAAATGGCCGTGTTGGCACTTTGCGATAAATAAGTGGGTTTTGGGTCGCAGTTTGGGCACTCGGTCTCTAAAAGGTTTGCCATCACTGGCCTAGGCTACGCTGATCTCGTCCGATCTTGAAAGCTAAGCAGGGTTGGCCCTGGACAGTATATGGATGGGAGACCACCAAGGGAGTCCAAGGTTGGGCCTGGAGATTTGCAATTTATCTCTTGATGACGGAGATCAGTTCCCCTGGAGAAAATGGCAGCCTTACACCCCACTGAGGTCAAGTCCTTTCCCCAAATCTTGCCATCCCCGGGCTCCGCCCACAAATCTTCAACAGTTTCCCAACCAAGAGTTGGCCGCTGTACACAATCCCACCACATGGTACAAATATTGGCTTTGTCTTTCCCACAAAGCCAAAAACAATGGGATTCTTTTTGTTAGATTATTTATGTTATTTTTATTATTTTATTATTTGCATTTATATCCTGTCCATCCCGCGGGTGGTCTCAGGGTGGGTAACATCACTGAAATAAACACAATTTCAGTTTAAAACATTAAAACACAATAAAACATGATAACAATTAAAACAATGGATGCAGCTTGGAAGAGCATAAGTTGGCTATAAAATTCTGGCCTGATGGTATGGCTGTTCTCAGAGGATTTAAATACCATGGATAGATATACTGTATATATTTTCTCTGAAAAGTACATTACCTGAAAATATAAATTTGTGGGTTAGTTTTAAAAAAAACAACCAAAAACCTACCGTTATCATTGGGCCCTTCCACACTTGGATCTCATCCCTCGTTCTATCAGAGTTCAGTTTGTGACACAATACCTTGCGTTTATCCCTGATTATAGCAGCATCCGTTTATCCCGGGACAAGTGTGGGGCGAAAGTGGGGTGACCTCAGTGTAATGTGGAAAGAAAAAATACCTCGAGATAATTACAAGGGTGAAATTGAGTGCCGTGTGGAATGTAAAAATACCCTGAGATAATTACAGGGGTGAACTCACGTGTAGTGTAGAATGTAAATGCTGGGACAGGGTTGAAGCAGGATTTAAGGTCTAGTGTGGAAAGGACCGTTAGCTCTGTATGATTTAAAGCTTGCTTTACCGTTCTAAGCGTCCTGGTCACTTGGCAAACCTGAACTATGCAGATACAGCTCATAATTGCAGTTTGGGGAAATTACTTCTGTGTCCGCAAAAACAGACCCTCCGAAATGACATTTGTTCTAATTCCATTAGCACAAGTACTGAGCGTGATGCACATCACTCAAGTCTACTTATGGGTTTAGCGCTGCTCTTGATAAAGTGTTTAATCAGGTTCTGGACTGATTTTAAATCTCCTTTGATTCTCATGGATCTGTGCTTCTTTTCTTCTTTTGTTATATATTTTTTTTATAAAGCCCCCCCCCCCCCCAAAAAAAAAATCCTTTTATCTGAACTTTATGGATAAACGGGATTCCCGATCGGGGTTATTTGCAGCATTTGCAGCAGGCAGGCGGTGCTCTCTCTTGGTGGCGGGCCGCTTAACATCTTTGAACCCAGGGCTGTGATTTTTGTGGGGGGGGGGGCTGGCACCCCTGCATCTATAGCAAAAGGGGCAGAGTAAAGAACTCTGATAATCGCCTCTGCTCCCAACGGTAAAGCCATGAGGCGCAGGAAAGCCTCTAAGCACTGTATCAAAAGGGGAAGATCAAGGAGCGCAAAGCTGACACGAAGCTTGGGAGGAAGATAATTACCCAAGAAGAAATGATGTTTTCTCAGGCTGAGGCGTTTTGTATATTTCAGTGCAGCTCAGAATGTGGGGGGGTAAATACCTCTCGCAGACCCAGTTATCTATATGGTGATGTGCGTTAAAACAAATCAGGATTTAAACCAGTCTTTCTTCGGAAAGTTGGCTGTGAGGAGATCACTGGGTGGGGGTGGGGGCCCTTCATTTCTGAAAAGGGAGGTAAGCAGATCGATGCCCAAGCTAATTGGGCTATAGTTTAGGGCCTCGGACTATGAAAGGCCTCTCAGTACAAAAAAAGGGACAAAATTACCATTTTATTTATTTATTTATTTATTTTGGTAATGCTGTGAGGCCTCTTGAACTTGACATATCTTAGGGCCTCAGCATGTCTTAAGGCGGCCCTGGAGGTAACAGTATTTCTGTGTGCATCAAGAGCTGTCAGGTCGCAGCGAACCAACGGTGACCCTCTGGGTTTTCAAGGCAAGAGACATTCAGAGGTGGTTTGAAGAAGAAGAAGGAGAGATTCGACTTATACCCCACCCTTCACTCCTCGAAGGAGTCTCAGAGCGGCTTATAATCCCTTTCCCTTCCCCTCCCCACAACAGACACCCTGTGAGGTAGGTGGGGCTGAGAGAGCTCTGACAGAAAGTGGTCTTTTTCAAGGACGGCTCTTATCAGAACTATGGCTGGCCCAAGGTCATCCAGCAGCTGCAAGTGGAGGAGTGGGGAATCAAACCCAGTTCTCCCAGATTAGAGTCCGCGCACTTAACCACTACACCAGACTGGCTCTCACCTGCCTTTGCATAGTGTCCCTGGACTTCCTTGGTGGTCTCCCATCTGAATACTAACCAGGACCTGACCCTGCTTAGCTTCTGAGATCTACGTTCAAGTAATCTTAGCTTAGAAATCCTTCTCCATGATCTTAAATTTGAGGTTACTCATTGGGGAAGGAATGGCACCCTGCGTACGCCTAGGGATACTTTTAAAACAATAACTTAAAAAAAAATAATCAAAATCTGTATCTTGCCTTTCTGCCCTTCCAAGGTTGCTAGGCAGCAACTGTAGCTGAAGGCACAGGCAGAGCTTGGGGAAGAGGAATAGCTGAATGGTACAGCAGCCAGTGGCCCTAGGTTCAATCTCGAGTTTACAAGATCTCAGAAAGCCGCATTGAGAAACACCTTTGCCTGGAAACCTGGGGTGACTGCTTCCGGTCAGAGTAGACAGTTCCGGACTAGAGAGGCCAATGTCTGACATTTGGGTAGCTTCATATGTTAGCGTATCCTGTTTAGTTCCTTCTTTGCAGGGCATCTTAAAGGCAGGAAAAGGCCAACCGGGGGGGGGGGGAAGACCCCTAGAAAGTTAACTCCTCTTGGACTCTGTCCCTTAGGCAACACATCCAGGATGAGGCTTCTGGCAATTCTCCTGGCCAATTTGCCTGGCTTCGCCTGTCTTTCCTACTAGGAATGACTCGAGGGCTTTCCCAAGGATACAAAATGGTAACAGAAGTCTGTTCATCTCTCAACAAAAATTACAACCAGAAAGCCAAAGTCATATACAACTAAAGGCGAAGCAGGATGTTTACAGTTAATAGGGGAAAGGTAGGGCCGCAGTGGCTCAGAGGTTAAGATGCTGAACTGCAGACCGGAAGGCCTGTAGTTCGGCAGTTCGCTGGCTCTTTGGCT